AACAGTGACATTCGATTGAGGCGTCGAAGTTTAATTGATTGAGATCAAACGGGTAAGTCAAAATTTTCATTGGGTAATCAACGATAAGAGAACTGGAACCTCCATTTAAGATGATGTTCTTTATTGTCGTGTAGGAGTTAAGTAAATAAACTTTTGTCTCTGAATAATTTTAAGTTATTAAAAGATGCGTTCTTTTATCTAAGTTCTTCTCATATTGTTCCAACGCTGGCGTGAAATCCTTTTGTAAACAGAAGTGCTAAGTGTAAATCCATTATAAATAGTGCACTTTATTGTGTCTCAGTACATCTGCCATTTCATTGGATTGTACGGTCGATTTGTTTTCAATAGTCTCTCATAGAGACGCCTTTGTGTTTCATTTTCATTTAGAGTTGTCAAATTTAGTCGCTGTCATGCAAGTAATAGATCAGTGAGACACTAACAACTAAACGGCAAGTTGTGCTCTGAAACCTCCGCTTCTAAGAAAGAAGTTGTGGTGCTGCGAGGAAATGTTTATTACGGTCCGTTATGGTGGTAAGTTGTCCGAGTCATGTATCTATTATGAGTTTTCCTTTAGTACCGATTATTTTGCTTTGAACACAATAGCCCACGAAATAAAACCGATTTACATCTCTTGCAGACGGCGAAGAATCTATCTTTAATCCAAACTGTCGGACAAACATTCTATTAGAGGATATCAAACGACGCTGCAACTGCACAAAAGATGGTAAGATCCCTAAGAATTTTCATCAAGTAGCTTGTGAATGCCTAAATTACCGCGCTAACCCAATATTAAGTTGATTGCTTTCTTTTAGCCACAGTAGATTTGAGTGATGAATCGGGAAATCTCAAGTATTTAGCTAATCACCCCATGAGTTATGCTACAGAGATACTAAAAGAACGAGAATCACTGGTGTTGATAAGAGTAGAAAGTAAGTTACTACATCTCGCTTTGTTTACTTTTCACCAAGAGTTTTTATAGCTCAACTTGTTTTCGTTATCTGTAATTTCTATCTAACTTATGCTTTGTTGATAAATACTCAGTCTATTTGTTGAGTCAATAATTACTTTCCTTCATTCGTTATTTTCCTTCTCGGATGCTATCATTTTTCCTGGTTGCTTTATCATTAACTTTTACGAGCAACTGCCAGAAGCACTTCGAGAAATTTCTCTAAATTGAATAAACTTCATGAATAAGTAATGTGTTCACTGGCTGAGGACCACAACAGTGAACCCAAACAATAGACCTGTGCTATTCTTAAGTCAGTCGACATTTCTCCATATCATCGTTTTAAGCATTAAAAAGTTAGAAACTTTCTTGTGCAGCTGTCCATGCTGTGACCATTTTGTGAACGAAACTTTGTGATGAGTCAATGCCAAATTGACAAGCTGATCGGTGGCAGCTTGCAATTAACAGTGGTACGAAAAAACAACAGGGATTCTTAGAAGAACTCAATTACGACTGACGTGGTCAGCTGTGCTACCTCACCCTCACTCTCTCAGAACTTAGAAGTGATCGTGAAATGATCCTTAAGTATTTTTCATCCATCAATTGTTTTTTAGAAAAAAGTGAAGCTGAAGGTGATAGTTATACGCCGATGCTGAATGACATGATTATTGTAACTCCACAATTTTTAGGTACGTAAGAACGATATTTAATTACTACTTACCTGGTTCAAATCTAAATTTCACGCAAATGAGTCGACCTCGAACCGACCTTGAGCCAAAATCTCTGTTAGCATCCAATGATCGAGATTCGAGTGGTGCCTGCATGAAACTTTATTTGGGTTTGTGGAATAAAAACAAGAACGGTAAAGGAGGATCGAACACGGAAGGGAAATAAGGGAACTAACACAAGTTTAATTAACTTTCTCCTTTACAGAACGTCTTTCGAGATGCGAGAGTGACAGTCTTAACGCCAAGAATTCTCAGGCCAAACCAGTTCGAATTAACAGTCCCTTAACTAAAAGACAAACCGGACTTCAAGGAAAAACCAAAACTTCATTAACATCAACATCAGGCAGGAGTAAAATAACATCCAGAGAAAAAACCTCGGCACAGAAGCGAAGCAGTAAAGACATGAGATAGGGACGTAGAAAATGAAATAGCTACTGATATAAAAATTTAATGAAAACTCAGGACAACTATCAAAACGTAAAGGCAATCAAGTTTTATTAACAGTACTTGCAAGACAATTATTCTAGCTAAAAAAGATGCACATTCGCATTGATCGTCACATGAGAGGCGTTTCTTCACTAGGGGGAAAGGACTGGTGCAACAATTTTCTCTTGAAGTTAACGACTTCGGCCTTGAAATTCGCCCTCTGTTCTCATGGGCTAGCACTAATATTTTTTTTTCCAAACCCCTGACACGTTCTTAATTTGAGTAAACCAGATAAAATTAAAAACTAGATTAGTAAATAAATAAATTACTCGGGTCTTCTTGTAAAAATCCCTTCATTTTATTTTTATGACATAAAATTGCTATACGAGAAAAATGGCGCTTCAAATTCCCATACAGGAACTGTCTGTCAACTTTTTGAAAAAACCATCTCGAGTCCAAAGAGTTATGCGAATAGAGGACATTTTATCGAGCCTCAGAAAAAACGGCATAGCTTGTGGCTGGTTAGCCTGTGGCTGGTTAGCTTGTGGCTGGTTAGCCTGTGCTAAGTTTCCGTAACAGTACTCTTTCAATTAGAATAAATAAATAATTGTTAAATATTGCGATAATTCTTATGTGATTTTCCTCCCGAACATCAAGTGATTACGTTGACAAAAAGACAATCCAATAACATAGATTAAAAAGTAAATATGAGACTGGGAAACAAAACCTGGCGTATTTATCAACAGTATTCACTGTTACGTCATCTCTAAAGTTATTCACAAAATCATCGTCTTCAGATGACATTTGTTTGCGGCGACCTTGAGAGGTCTGGTGACTATCACCATCTATATTGTTTTCATGCAACGAATGGTCGTAGGTGCTGTTCATGTCTCCAATTCTGTTCCTAGAAAGTTTACGAAGATCGGATTCCTCCTGAAAAATTAAAGTTATTCCGAATTTTATTGAAAAGTTGACTAAAACAGGCTGCGAAGGGAACGGGAAAGAGTCTCGTTGCTTCTGCTTGAATTAAGAACTGTTACCTCAAAGTGTTTTTTGATAACTTATCGCATGAATTTCCTTGTGCAGTTTGAGAAAATAAGCAATCGTAAATTTTATACCTCACTTGTTGTTAAACTGCTACTCGGGGATAATGTCTACTATCTCGTTTCCAACAAGCTCGAATGGAATAACAATTTTAATGAAAACGACCCAAATAGCCCTAGAGTTTTACCGATGGTATATCGCGTGGTATACCAGGGTTCCTTGGCCAATCAACACTGTCGGAATGCATTATGTAATGATTCATCTACCTTGTCTGTGCTACCGTATCTTGTCCCTGATAACGGAATATCTTCAGGGTCTTCCTTCAGGCCTTTAACCTTACGTAGAATGTTCGTTCCCTTTCGTGACAGTTTCTGGGCTTGAGACTTGACAAAAGTGGAACTCGGATATTCGACCAAAGCAGCGAACACGTAGAGAAAGGAGACACACAGAAACCAGTCAATTGCTTTTACGTAGCTCACTTTCGGCATCGACGACTGAATTCCGAAAATCAATGTCGTCAGGGCGAGGACGGTCGTGATTCCGAGCCCGACCCGAGCTGGTGGAGAGTTTCGTGGGATCCAAAAGGAGACCCAACTCAAAATGGTGATTAGAATTGTTGGAATATAAATCGAAACGACGTAGTAGAATTTTTTTCGTCTAATGTAGAAAGTTAGCTGCAGCATGGAAAAATTTCCTGTAACAAATCGATAAGTTACTTCAGACAAGGATTTATAAAACTCCTTGTGATACTTGATGTACAAAGAAACTATGCATTTATATGATGCACCTGACCCCTCCCCTTCTTATTTTGTTTTGCGGTTGTTTTATTGTTTTGTTTTATAGCTATTTGAGATAAAGCATTCTAAAATGTTGTATCACCAGGGTCATGGAGAGAGCAACCTGGGTTACTACCTACTAACTCTGTCCTTGACTGGGAACTAGCCGCATTTAGTCACCTAAAATCTCGTGCGAGTGGAACTCGCTAACAATCACACCGCATATCTGATATCGGATTGTTAAAATTTAAAATCACCGTTTTTCGACGGAGACTCAATCTAACCCCACCCGGTAAACTGTTTTATCTGGACCCAGGGTAATGAAGTTGTAGGCTCCGAAAAGTTACTTCTTTATACCTGTAACATAGGAAGCTGTTATTTCACGGACTGAATATCCATCGAGTGCGAACTGTGACATGATCAGTTCGTCTCCTATTGCCACGGCGGTTTTCAGATCGTCACTCCCGTCCTTTACGTCCCACTTGAAGAATAGGTCATCTGTGGTCATACCATCTGCCAAACAATTCCATGAGGTTTCAGAGAAATAACAGTTTTGTGAAAATGAATATCAGAAATATATCTACTTCTTATTCTTGAAGTTAGGAAATTCAACTAAAACTCCGTAAGCTTTTCTAGACGCGGGCAGTCAATAACTCTTCCAGGCGGGATAGTAGTTTGGTTAGTGGGTGCATGAATACTTAAGAAACTGTGTGACAATAACAATGTAACTGAAACATTCCACAATTTGTCATAATTTTGAATGTGATCCTAAGAATACAGTCATTAGTCCAAGAAACATACAGCTTTCGAAGAGAAGACTACAGTTTTGCTTATCCATGGGGTAATTCCGCAGATCCATCTTGCAAGCCGCAATTACAGTCATTCTAAACAGGGAAATAAGCGAAATATCAGGAGAAGAAATATCAATTACGCACGAAAGGATAAAGCTAAAAGTTTGTTGGGATGGCATCCGTGCGCAAGGAATTCAAAGATCTATTCACCAGCCAAGTAAAAACAGTTTCGTGTTGGTTCAATAATCTAATTCGTTTACTGAGATTCTTGCAAAACTCTTGCGCCTTAGAACAGCTCAAGAGAAGCTTTACTTTCCCAACCTATCGCACTCTGGCTTGCACGGCAAGCTGCAGAAGCGGCCGACTGAATGTCCCTGGGGACTTCCTATGTATGTTTGCGTTCATTTGTACACTTAAGATTAACAACGGTCTACCATCTCCCAGAAGTCCACCGACCATAGTACGAAGAAGCATGTTAGCGTGCGAGTAGGACTTCATTATCAGCGATTCGGGAAGAGTCTTTAATCGCCCATGGGAAATTAGAAGGCATTTGTCTATAAGGTGTATAGCACTGGCAGCCACTCAGGACAAACCTCTCCCCGGCTCGCCTCAAATCTTCTCGCGGAGGGTGAAACGCGCTTCCTGCATAATAATAAGGAACACGTATGAAATTTCAGTTTTGAGCCAATATTACTTGATTATTACCGTTGACTGTAGATGATTTTTCCATCTGGAAAAACCATGAGTAGAAATTCTTGTTTTGGTGCAGAGCTGGACTTTTCATTGTTCACGTAGGTGTCTGGTATCCAAATCTGTTGCATGATGTCTCCATTCAGGCTCAGATTTCTTTTAACATAATCTTTCTCAAACTGAAGTCGAGAGTCTTGCCACACTTGTCTCATAAAGAACGTGCTTTCAAATTGCTGGGGTGAAAACAATAAAAATGAAACAAAGATCGCGACACTTGTGTTAAACTGTTCCATATTATGGAACCAACATAATGACCAGGTCCCAATTGACTTGTTAGCTCAGTTGGTAGAGCACTGCATCGCAGAGGTCATGGGTTCAAATCCCGTACAGATCTGAATTTTTTTCAGGCCTAATTTTCACTACTTTCAAACAGTGTTCATTACTGCGAAGGTCGCTCTCATATTCACGTCTTTATCCGCAGTTCACATACATGATTTCCGTATATTCACAGTCATTTATTCCTATAACTGTAATCTAAATCGTTCTGCTGAGCACCAAGTGAAGGCGCTCCCAGATATTCATGCAATACTACATTCCATACCTGGCAAAATACTTCTAACAAATCTATACCGCGAGGGCTGAACGGAATACAAGAAGTACCAACTCATTCTAACAGAAATCTTAACCGTTCTAAAACATCTAGTAAAGTTTATTGATTTCATACCATCGTATGGGAAATTCTATACAGCCTAACCCACAGTGTATGAATGACATGAGTTCTGAAGCATCAAGAAATGTCCAATTGGAAAAAGTGAGTTAAAACCAAGAGCAGCGTGTATTTTACGTGAACTCTTAGACACTACGAAACCCCATGGTCTCTTAAAATAAATTATTTTGTTATCTAACTACGAGCACTCAGTGTGGTACAATTAACACGCGAACCGAATACAAATATCCTCCGATATTGGAGAGTTATTTTGTACTGTAAAAAAAACTTGTTTAACCGGTCAGCTTCGGGCGCCATGCTTCTCTATCTGCTTCGCTTTTCCCAATTTTTAAGAAATGCCCTTGAGATAAAGCAGTTGGATAATAAATAACTTATTAGAAGTTTTAATGTGTAGTATTGCTGAGTATTTTTGACAGGCCCGCAGGGCGAGTCAAAATACAAACAAAAAGTCAGCACTTAATCCTTCCTTAGCTTCAACATCCATCCCCCTCACCATTTCTCTTTCATCCAATCCTCCCAGCGATGTAACAAACACTGTCACCAATACTTTCACGGGGCGGCCTGAGAAAAGCAGAAAAGTGTTACATGACCATCAGTCAGCATCAGGATTCCTCGGAAACATCAAACAGCACCATCTCTCGCTATAAAACAACTGTGATTGGTAATTTAGTGTTAACAACTGGGTTGAAAACGTAAATTGGCCACTGTAAAGAGTTTAAAGGCTGACGTTTCGAGCGTTAGCCCTTCGTCAAAGCGATTGGAGGAATTGTGGGTTATGCGTCGGTTTATATGCAGAAAATGGAGCTACGCTACTGGTTGGAATATGGTGACGAGAAAACAAGAATAAACTAATTGAATGAAAAGCCCTCGTTGATACCGTGGGGATTAAGGGTGCCGATTTGGAAGATGATTTTTTTATCTGGTGTTTTGCGGCTTTCCGAACTGCCTAGATGTAGGGAAAGGCCGCAAATTCCCACATGTTGTTTAGAATGATTAGGGAGATTAAATTGGCTAGAGACTGGCTCGGATGCGTCTTTGTCATTTCTTTCTACGTCGCCAAGGTGTTCTCGGAATTGGTCACCTAGTAATCTTTCTGTTTCACCAATGTATAACTTTTTGCAATAAGTGCAAGTTATGTAGTAAATGACATTGGCGAAGGTACACGCAAAGTGATCAGTGATCTTAATGGCTCTCCTGGGTCCCGACATTTTCTCTACGTTATGAATGAAAGGACAAGTTTTGCATTGTAAGCGAGCGCATTTGAAAGTCAGTCCAGGTTGGTAATTGGTTTGAAATGAACTTGTGACCAAAAAGTTGCCTATGTTTTTGTCACGTTTGAATGAAATTACTGGAGGTTGCAAAAAAGATAGTACCATTCTCTGAATCGTTTTGGAGTAATTTAAAGCAGTTTTTAAGAATGATAGACTTAACTGCGTGGTTGTGAAGGTGAAATGTGAGAGTGAATGGAATGCGGTCAATGTTTTCCTTCTCAGCCGTTTGACTGTCGAGTAACTATTTGGGCACGGTGGTGACCCGCTTGAACGACAGAAACAGGATAGCCACGTTTTTCGAAAAACTTACACACTGCCTCTGATGTTTTGGAAAATCAGAGTCGTCACTACATAAACGACGAAGTCTGAGAGACTGTGAAAAAGGTATGGAATTCTTGAGGTGTGATCACGGATGCGAGGATGAATACAGCAAGTAACTATGTGAATCTATAGGTTTGTAGTAAACAGTAGTTCATAAACTGTTGCCTTCAATTGAAATTTTGATGTCTAGAAAAGCCAAAGAAGTGTCGAAAATTTCCCAGGTATATTTGAGAGCCGGGTGAAAGGAATTGACGGCGGTTATGAATTGAGTGAGCTCCTCTCTGGTAGAGGAGGTAGTGCTGATACAGTCGTCAATGTAACAGCTGTAGAGTTCAGGTTTGGGGTCGTGGTATTGACTAAAAAATTGTGATTGGTGTCTCTAAGAACAGTGAATTGATCTTTATGATAATAATTGTAACCCCCCAGGCTGCGATTTATTATTATTTGTTTTTTATCTTTTTGAATTAAAACTAGTAATTTTAGAGTTTCTGACTGTGAGATGAACTAATCATACCTTCAAAGTCAGGTCTAAATCTCTTGTCGTAATGTTTCTCATCAAGAAGCCTGCGCAGTACAACCGATGCGTTCCTGCCACTCCAGTACGTAAGAGAGCTTAGTGAAAAAAAGTATTCAAACGACATTAAACCACAAACTGTAAAATTCAAACATTTCAGTGCTATCGGCCAGAAATGGAAATTGAATATATATCAAGATTTCAGCGAAGCCGTTCCCTGGCAAATTCTTACCATTCCCTCGTCCCTCTCCCAAATCTTCATTCGGTAGAAATTTCCAGAAATTTATTTTGAGTTTTTTCACTATACTAAATAGTATTCAAAAGCCTCTTAAAATCCCTCTCTAGTGAGCAGGACCCGAAAATGGCAAAACACGGTTTTAGTTGTTATACAACGTACCTACTATAGAAAGATCAATATCTCATTTATTAATGTGATAGAGCGAAACATCATGCAACCGTAAATTAAGCTGACAACCACCTCGCTGTCTATTTACATTTTGTAGTAAACGGAGCTTTCTCTGTTCATTAAAAATACATAAATCGTACGATTCCTTTTGATAAGATATTTTTATCCACTGACGCTGTTCTCTCACTATTAATGGTAAACACTGTTTTTTCCCCCTCGCTGAAGGGAGAGCCGTTAAAAGAGGGATGGATGAGGTAACCTTGATCAAACACTCAGTGTACTTCAAGTTTCTCTCGTTCAATACTTCAGACTTATATTTACAAAATTTTATTTTCATCTATCTGCAACAAAATCGTTCAATCGGCTGATTGAAATGTTGCTATCGATGTTAGCCGCCTGATTTTAGAGTAATTACCGTCTGAATCACTTTTTTATCGCTTATGCGTTTTAGCAGTATAATTTACGATAATCATCACCATTATTTCGCCTTTGATAGTAGTTGAAATTAAGAAAAAGTTTTAGTTCTAAACTAACCTTACTGGTTAATCTTACCTGGCACAGGCTGAAGTGAAAAGAATCGCTGCTAAGACCGAGAAAGACATTCGAAGCAGCATTTGCATACTCCACACGGTAAGCTAAGTACTAACGGTCGAAACACATCGCTTTCTTTACACATCCACACTAAAAAGAAACCTGAAAAAAATGAAAAGAGTAGAAGAAGGAGAAGAAAGAACGAAATACATTTGGTGGCTACGAAAAAAACCAGCTACACGAAATGATCATATTATTGACCCTGACCTGCCCGAGTAGGCGCAACCCAACAGCCATGAAAGCGCTTTCGAAAATCTCTTCAATCCTGATTGAAATCTGCTTTGGACGGATTTCAAGAGATTTGTTTGTAAAATGTCTTTCAGTCACACACAGCTGTTCTTTGCTTTGTTATGTTTGATGGCCTGTCCTCAGATCCCGCCTATATTCTCTATAATACAGCAGTAAAGTGCCTGTTTCCCATTATCATCTGCTTTTAGACGTGAAAAAAAATATGTAATTTGCTCGAATAATGATTAAGTAGCAGTTTTATACTCAGCCGCGTTAAAAATTTCATAGGAATAAACGATCGTAAAATCCACTTAGCTTCAGAACTAAAATTATTCAAGCTTTTATAACAGACTAGAAAGCGTCATTTTTTTTGCATTGCAAATTAGAATTTTTCTTTGATGACAGAAGCGGTGGACGGTTTGTTTGTAGCACAAATTGCCAAAAACAAATGGAAAAAATATGCGCCAAATTTCAAATATAAAAATTAATAAGCTTACGTCGCTCTCAAGCTTTCTTTAGTTGACGAAAAACTTTAAGTTCTTTCTTATGGCAATCTACTAAAGGTCAAAATCGTTAAACGAAGATGAAATTTAAAGGCTGCCAGAAACAGCGTGAAACTTTGTTGATACAAGATATCCAGCCACGTCAAATAGACACCCTAAGCGAGATCTTTTTTTTTTACAAAAGAAAATATCGGATCTGAACTTCTCCTAACCAAACTACTTTAGGGCGTCGAAAAAGTAGTCACAACAAAGAGTGTTTGGGGAACGTTCTCCAAGTGACGAAAGTAAAATCCGTTTAGGTTCTTCAGAGACACGAGTGGGAAGCGTTTACATTGGAGTCAATTGAAGTACATTGAAGTTTTCTTTCCGCACACCAACAACAATGCACAACATCTGACGATCTTCTGAGATCCTTTAAGGAACGATCATGATACATGATAAAATTTGTAGGCCAACGAATTGCAGTATGTTTATATATATTCTACTGGCACTGAAACAAATAATTAAAAAGGATCGAGTACTGTTAGAACTGTCTGCTCAAGTATTAAAATTGCCAATTTTTATTCAGTCATCAACCTCCTAGGAAGAAGTTCTTATTTTACGAAACATTCTTTCAAGAATCGAACTCCTTATTTTGTTTAGTGTGGCCACCAACATTAATTAGATGGTGTCACTCTCTTTTTCAAAACATTCTAAATTGAATTTTTAAACAAATTTCGATCAATATTTCAAACAGAACGATAAAAAGTTCTTGGTGATCGCTTGTACGTATGAAACAAAAAACGACAGCTGATCAAGTCAAAGGTACAATATTGAGGGCTCTATTGTATCCCACGGAGTGCAGACTAGGGTTTGAAGCAAACCAATTTATCTTATCCGTAGTCCTTGCAATAAATTTCATTGTCCGTGTATCAAGGTGGTGAGGGTTTAGTCCTCTGTAAAAGGACACACTTTTTCGTAGCTTCGTATTAATATACACCAATCATGAGCGAGTCAAATGAAAAATTTCGAAACAAAGAATTATTTGAAACCAAATTGCTTTTGGAGAACAATTTCAGCATAAGCACGACAAAAAAACTTGGATTGAACTGTTTGTAGAAAAAGACAGAACCCAGGTTTTCTTTACCTTCAAGATGTGACGAGTAATCAAATAGTGAAGAGGCAAACAAATTCTTCCATCTTATCTCAGTGACACGAGCCAAAGCTGTCACTCTCCAACTGAACGAGCGGCATTCGTTCTCTTTTGTACTTTTATTGCATGCATAATAATTGATTATATTTAATTGATATATGAAGGATAAATTTAAATAACGCTGGCATACGATCAATGGTAGTGATATTACTGGTATTATTGCACTCTCTCATCTGGGCTTGTTGCTACATCTTTGGGGTAAAAATGAGAAACATGTCGCTCTCGATGTCCGTTTCATTACAATTTCCCTTCAGAGCAGTTTTACTATGCATCGTTTGTTCGTAGAAAATATCAATGAAAACTGAGGAATAAATTGATGTCACATTAAGTATTAAAAGCCTTATTTGTGCGTTAATCCATCGGTCGTTAATAAAATATTTGCATTTTTACTTTCATCTATCATTAAAAGGGCAGTTGTTATCTTTGCTAGCCCCATGTACAGCCTGAATTTGTTAAATGATATCGAGATAAAGGATTTTGCATCAGCGTCATTAAGATATATATTCCTGAATCAACATTAATTTTAGCACTAAGTTCTTTAATTATTAGCAGAAAATTCCAAATTTGCACGAAAACAGGATGTGTTTGCTGTTTGTGTCTCAACGTACATACGCTCAAACTGAGATCTTTCTTTCTTCAAGACGCACCTCCTACCGACCATGCTCTTTGATCGTAAAGTGCATCTATATTTTTAGCATTTTTTAGTGAAACTAAAACAGTTTTAGCAAGTTGCATGTCCTGAAAACTAGTTTAGAACCGGGCTAAAAAACGCAACTTTCAACTGAGGAAAAAAATATTGTTTTAACTCTGTGCTGATAAATAAATGTAATTCACGAAGGTTTTAAAATTAATTCACAAATGCAGCGAAAAACTATAACAATGATCTATTGGACGTAAACGGTTAAAGTTAATTCACTCGCGAGATGAAAAAATTTGGCTGAGTCTGGAAAACAAGAAATTCACCAACTAAAGATCTTTTTCCTTCCTTGTTTGCTTTTTCTTGCCTTGCTTTATAATTTTTTTTTAAACGAGGTCAGGTGAAAAGCATGATTCTTTTCAAAACGCGGCTCTTTTTAAAGACTGCAGTCTACGAAAATTAATCAGCTTCATGCAAAGTTTATCAACCTTGAATAGAATATGGGTGCCATTTATTCATGAGCGGCAGATAGTTATGTTTAACAGACCTGCCGGTCAGTATCTGCTAACCTTCCAAACAGGTGTAACATTAGAATTACAGCTAAAATGTAAACATATCCTGCAGGGACTACCCGAATCGAAACTTCAAAAATTTAAATGCATGTTAAAAAACTTAACGAGATCAGAAAATTATCTCTTAACTTAACTGTCGGAATTGAAGTTTTCCTTTGACATTAATTTTGCTTAGGGTTAGGTGAAGGTGAAAGACTAACTGTCCTTCCCGCCTGCCTCTCCTCAGGGTCGACACGTTTCACTATTGAAGTAGTACTTTGTCAAATAGCACATGGGAAGGATACTGGTTCCTTTTAACCAGATGGAAGTTTCTAAAGATTTCTTTTTAATTTTAAGAAAGAATAAGAACTCCCAAGCAAACACTCGGTAACGAATTAAAAGTGAGGCAACTTACCACTGAAATTAACCATTAACATCCGAGGCGAGAAACAAATAAAAGAAAATTGAGTTGAGTCAAGTAATTACAGAATACTTGTAATATTCGATGTTTCCGTGATTTTCTCTTACCTCACTCATCCACGAGTAATTCTTATCTTGACATTTATTGTTGCACGGCAACATAATTATTAAACTAATTAAAGTTGTCGTCATTTGACTTTTCCTGATTTTGTCATTAAGAAGATCGTAAAAAGTAAACAAGCTGATTTCAACTCTCGACTTTTTTTAATAACAATTCACAGTCATTGTGTTGAAAATTACACCGTCAAAGTAATTATCAGAATGCAAAATATGTTTGTGTTTGATAGTTAGTCAGGTGAAGTTTTCATTCAGAATCATCCAATATCTGTAGGATTCAAGAGATTTTCATTCACCTTCTTTCATTTCGTTCAAAGAAAGCTACTGGCTGATTTATCTATTTTCAATCAACTTCAAATATATCGCACCCATGTTACTAAATAGAGTGATTTCAAGTCAGTAAAAGGAGTGCAATTTCCCTTCAATCTGAAAGGTTTCGGTCAGTTTCTAACCGGAAAACTTCATATTCTCAGTTTTGTCATCGGTGGCTCACTGAAATGCACTCACGCACGCTTATGACCTCTGGCACACTTGAAGTCGCCACGCAATTGGTAGATTACTATGCGAACTTTCGGCATATCTTTATTTTGAATATTGATTTAAAGAATACCTACGTGGACATAAAATATTAGCGTTAAAAATAAATCAAATCCAATCTGAAAAACTAGTTTAAAATTTACCACTGATCCAGTTTTCACATTTTCCACTTAGAACATAGCCCTAAGCGATCGAAGATTTTGAATGGAAAGCCAAGTTTTCAAGAACTTCCATTTTCTTTGAATAAAAAACAAATTGAGTTTTAAATGCTTCCAACAACTTATAACAATCGTTTAACCTCGCCCATAAAAGAGGTCCTACTGTAGTTGCACTAACTTCCTTCAAGATAAGAAATTGTTTTAGTGGATGTCATCTCACTCAACTGGGCCTAGATTTTTCAGTAAATCAAGTTTCGCGTCGTGGTCGTCTTAGAGCTGCAATCGACAAGAGACACAGGAAACCGCACAGTGGTCTGGGTTCCAATCTCCCCATGCGCACTACGAAGATTTCTTGCACGTGGAAACATGGCGGACTCTGGTTAGTGCCAATGCAATTTTCTAAATTCAGGCATTCTCGCCTCTGAAAATAGCTTCTTTTTTTAACATCTTACCATTTTTTCTCTCTGCTAACCTTCCGTAGAAGTTACGCCTCGCAAGAAGCAGAAAAAGGATAAGCATAGGGCTCGGGAAGAAGATTCGGGTAAGCTTGGAAATAGTGTTTTGTAATGCGCGCGTGCAAAACAGTTGCCTGTGTGGATGCTTTATTATCTCTTCCTCTTACAGAGGAAGCGTGTTTTCATTCATTGTAACGGACGATCATCTTGTATTGGTCATAAGGTTCTGCAAAGAAAGAGAAAAAAGTGAAGAGCGAGGCGGCTGATGTGGGCTCGTCAAATCATTTTGGGGTGAGTGGATCGCCAAGGACTCACACAGTTTGCGAGAAAATGTTCTGTTTTGACGGTAGTTTTTTCACCATTGTTAACCTATTTGCATTTAATCACTAGTTATGGTGTGAATATAAATTTCCATCTTTACTGACGAAGATCGTGCTTACTTACTCATTTAGATACACTGCTGTAGATTTCGTGTGGCCATTGTTATCAACATCGTGTTCTCATGAGCGCTTCAGCGGCGTGCAGAAAATAATTCGTTATCAGTTCAAGTTTGAGACGAACCGGTAGCTTCCTATTTCCAATGTAATAAAGCTAGACATTTTCAGCAATCCAAAACGTTTCTGTGCTGTGTACATCAAGGAGAGAAGATCTTGCTGCAATTGAAATAAACAAAACTATGTATTAAACCTGGGTATACAGGCTGTCTTGCAGAGTAATCTTATGAGAAACGAAGGCATAAAACCTTACTTAAAATTGGTTTTGAACAAGTAAGGCTGGAACATAGAATCCAATCAGTTACAAACAATACCAGCCACAATATATTCTTGTGCTTAAGTAAACACGCCTTGGTCTTGGTGTGTTCATTTTTTTCCCTAATTTTAAGTCATCAGGGCTCAAGGTGAAATTCTTATCTGGGTTTCTTTACTCCTTAGTTCAAAAGCCTTTTCAAGGTGATTTTATCTCCTTTTTAGACCATCCTATAGTAAAATTTTTAGACAAAAGATTATACTGAATTTTCTGTTAAAGCTTTCAGATCTGAAATCAGATTTCACACCAACTTTCTACTATCCTAACTCAGCATTGAACAACCTGGCCCTGGTGTCTAACTTTCTAAATGTTATTATAAGGTTTTTACTCCTTACAAATTATTGTGCTCTTTATTAAATATTTCAAAACATGTGTAGAGCATCAGTATTGAACTTTGGTTGTACGTGTAACCTGTTGAGGTGTTATTTATTAGATTTACTACCACTTATGTAATCATATCTACCTATTCCACTATTGGCAGCCACTTATTAAAATATATTGAAATGCCTGTTATCATCCTTTTAGAATGTAAGTTGAAAATGGATTCCAAGTTCTGCTACTTGCATTTATTTAATTTTTGATTAACTAATTTGTCAAATCCTGTATATTTGCCCACCCAGGAAACTCAACATGACGAGGATTTCCACTTAAAGCCAACGTCTGCAGCTGGTGTGTTGGACACAACAAAATGGCCTCTATTGCTCAAGGTAAGATGTTATCTGTCTAGTTGTAATCTTGGTGTATCAGTTATTACTAAACTTCCATTGTGTTCTTTTTTTGTGTCACAGAACTATGACAAGTTGAATGTAAGAACTGGCCACTTTACTCCATTACCAAATGGATGTTCTCCTCTGAAAAGAGAACTAAAAGACTATGTATCGTAAGTTAAATTATTTCAATTTCTGAGCAATTCATACATTCATGACGCTATATGTACCATGTACAGTGCAACCAAGCTCTGTACTGGTGATTACGAAGGAAGTTTTTAAATTTGATCAATTTTTATTTAAATCTTATTGTGTTCACACTCATGAGCTTCTTTTTTGAGCTGAAGCATGTTGGTGCGTTACTTTATTTTATTACTACATGGTTAATTATGTATATCTACTTCTGTTATCACAGGAGTGGGTTTATAAATCTTGACAAGCCAGCAAATCCCTCATCACATGAGGTACATTGCATATTTGATACAAAGAATAATATGGTTTAGGTTTCTTCCCTCCTTCTTTCCTTCAACGTATTTAGATGTTACTGAATGCTAGTTTTCCTTGCTAGAGCTTTAATCCTGGCAAGTATAGCCTGGATTAGTCACTATCAGCCAAATATTTTCCATTGTACAAGGATTCAGGAAGTTTTTATAATAAACTTGGGTTATTGATTTTTCACCAAAGAATTAAAGGCCTCAACACAATAGCCAGCCAAAAATTTAATGAAGGTGATGTCCTTGACAGCCATGAGAATGGGTGTTATGAACTGGTATTGGCTCTCTATGGTC